CAAATGATTGGGGGGGGGGGATTCATATATGTATTTTTTGTGGGGGGGGGGGGGTGTTATCGTAGGCTCAACATCTAGGGGGGGGGGGAAAGGGTCAAAATGTATAAACATTTTTAAGCCTCCTGGATCCTATTTCTGAATTTCCGGGGGGGGGGGTTTGACCTGTATACAGTGCCTCCGGGGGGGGGGGTGTGCAAGAGTGTCCCTTGAGGCGGGGGGGGGGGAAGTAGCTTGCCCAAGGTCACACGGGGGGGGGGGGGTGCAGCTGGGATTTGAACACAAGCTCTGTGGCCCAGGTCCTCACCAGCATATTTTGGGGGGGGGGGGTTCCAAGTTCAGCAATACAACCGGGGGGGGGGGGCTTTACTTATTTTTTTTAAGATGGGGGGGGGGGATTTATTTGAGAGAGATTGAGTGGGGGGGGGGGGAGGGGGAGGGACAGAGGGAGAAGGGGGGGGGGGGCCAAGCAGGGAGCCCCATGCAGGGGGGGGGGGGGGGACCCTGGGATCACGACCTGAGGGGGGGGGGGGCGCTTAATGACTGAGCCTCCCAGGGGGGGGGGGGGGACATTCTTTTGTTTTGGTTTGGGGGGGGGGGGATACATTTTTACCTATTAAAGCTGGGGGGGGGGGTCTTATGTATATATATGTCCTTCGGCTTCTCATTTTGTTTGTTTTGTTTTAATAGATGGGGGGGGGGGGAGCAGTTTTAGGTTCATACAAGGGGGGGGGGGGAGATAGCGGGATCTCCCATATACCTCTTGCTCTGACACATGCATATCTTCCCTTGTTATCAGCATCCCACCCCAGAGGGTACATTTCTTACAACTGATAAACCTACATCAACAAATTATCACCCTGAGTCCATAGTTTACATTAGAGCTCACTCTTGGTGTACATCCAATGGGTTTTAACAAATGTGTAGTGACATATATCTAACATTATAGTATCATACAAATATGTAAACCAAACCAAACCCTTGAATAATGTGGTGGTTAGAGGTGCCAACCCCCCGCACGCTCAAAAGTCCACATATAACTTTTGACTCTCCAAAAACTTAACTACTAATAGCCTACTGCTGATCGGAAGCCTTACCAATATCATAAAAGATCAATTAACACATATTATATATATATATTATATACTGTACTGTTACAATAAAATAGGCTAGAGAAAATAAAATGTTATTAAGAAAATCATAAGGAAGAGAAAACATATGTACAGTACTGGACTGAATTTATGAGAAAAAAATCCGCTTGAAGTGGACCCATGCAGTTCAAACCTGTGTTGCTCAAGGGTCAGGGGCAGCTTGCCTCCCGGCAGACTCCTGAGGGGGAAATTATTTGCATTAATTTATTGATTGACCAATTGGGGGGGGGGGCTATGCTCGGGACCTACCACTGGGGGGGGGGGGGTTCAAACTGGAGCCAAGTTGATGGAAGCCTTGGGTCTCCTTGGCGTAGTGCCTGTGTGGGGGGGGGGGTATGGCCACCTCGGTCACCTAGCGGGGGGGGGGGTTCCCCATCAAGACCCGTTGCCATGAGGGAACGACTGTATCTTGGTGGCTTCTGCATGGGGGGGGGGGGGCGTGGTCCTGGCAGAGAACACACGGTCATTTAATCCTCGAGCCTGGGATGAACGTGGGGGGGGGGGGTGAACTTTGAAGCCGTGGAAAAGGGGGGGGGGGGAAATAAGATCTGGGGGAAATTGGGGGGGGGGGGGTTTTTATTTTTTATCTGTTTACGGGGGGGGGGGAGTTTGGTTTTAAGAATATTCAAGGGGGGGGGGGGTAATTTGGGTTGTTCACAAAATGGGGGGGGGGGGTGCATTAAAATGAAACGGATGGGGGGGGGGGGGAATCTCTCCCGAAATACTACAAGTTAAAAATGTGTCATAGATAGAGCCAGAAAGACGGGGGGGGGGGGGGAATGTAGCATCTCTTAGTTTTGGGGGGGGGGGGAGGATCTCACCAAAATGCAGAAGGGGGGGGGGGAAAGAGCAAAATGAGCATGGTCAGGGGGGGGGGGAGGGAGTTCTTCGTCACCTGGTAACCCGGGCCGCGTCAGGTGGCTGGAGATTAAACCGGGGGGGGGGGTCTCTGCAGCAGCAGCAGCTCCTGGGGGGGGGGGCGGTGTGCGGGTCCCCACCCCCTGGGGGGGGGGGGCCCACCAGTTGCTTTGGCCAATGGGGGGGGGGGTGAGTGACGTAGGCGAGTCCAGAGGGGGGGGGGGGTGCCTCCTGGCTCGCTCCCATGTAAGGAAGCCCAGGCACAGGAGGCAAGGCACCACGGGGGGGGGGGAAGCCGGCCGACGGTGGCAGCACAGCCCCCAGACCTTGTGGACAGAGGCCATTTCAGGGGGGGGGGGGACCCCGCACCTGCTGCAGCTGCCGGGGGGGGGGGCAGAGCCCCTGACTCAGCCCCGCGGGGGGGGGGGTGCGAGCAAGTAAGAGGGCTTGTGGGGGGGGGGGTAAGTTTTAGAATCATTTGTTACGGGGGGGGGGGTAACTGGTGTATATATAGGAAGGGGGGGGGGGGGGAGAAAGCTTGACCTCCAAAACTGTTGTGGTTCTCAAGGTCAAAGAGGCATCGGGGCGGGGGGGGGGGATTTTTAAATTTTAAGATGTCCAGGGGGGGGGGGTTGCCCTTGTTTTTCTTCATCCTGGGGGGGGGGGGTCAGCTGAAACAGTAAGTCGATGGGGGGGGGGGGGTAGGTCCCGAGCATAGTGTCTGGGGGGGGGGGGTCAATCAATGAATTAATGCAAAGGGGGGGGGGGTCAAGAGTCGTGAAAGGGTATAAGCAGCCTCTGCCTGGAGGCAAGCTGTGCCTGGAAGGGGGGGGGGGGACCCTCTCTCTGGGGCCCTTTCCTGGTTTGAAATTGGCTCCTTCCCCTCCAGGGAGGGGGGGGGGGGGGCCACAGCAGTGGAGCGGGGAGGGGGGGGGGGGCTTCCACCCACGACTGTGCCAGAGGGGGGGGGGGTCCTGGCTCTGTTTTCTGGAAAGGGGGGGGGGGGACATGGGGTGAGCAGGCCGCAGCGGGGGGGGGGGAAGGGCGTGCAGGTTTTGGAGGGGGGGGGGGGGGGCATGTGGTGGTGGGGAGGCTGGGGGGGGGGGGGGGAAATAATGCCATCCTTTGGGGGGGGGGGGGGGAGCCACGTTTGGAGGCGAGCCCAGGGGGGGGGGGCCGGCCTGGGAAGCATGCGGAGCGGGGGGGGGGGCAGCCGCTGGGGCCTCATTGTTCGGGGGGGGGGGTATGAGATGCTGCACAAGTGGCCGGGGGGGGGGGTGTCTTCAGGCCTGCCACGGGCCTTGTTTTGCACACAATGACTGTGTAGTGCAGCCCGGGGGGGGGGGACTCTGGAAGGCGGCGACTGCCTGGGGGGGGGGGGGTCCAAGTTTGCTGCATGGCCAGGGGGGGGGGGCTCATCTACCTCCCTTCCCATCCGGGGGGGGGGGTGTCCTGTCGGAAAGCCCAGGGGGGGGGGGGGGGATGGCAGGACCAGGCTCAGCCCAGGGGGGGGGGGAGGGAGGGAAGAAAAAGCATCCTGGGGGGGGGGGCCGTTATTGTTCTAGAAGCAGCAGGGGGGGGGGGAGCCAGTCTTTCTCTTTGAGGAAGGGGGGGGGGGTGAGGGATTGTGCTCAAACCACCGGGGGGGGGGGTGTGGAGAGACCTGGTGCCTATTGGGGGGGGGGGTGCCTTGGGATTAATCGCCTCCGGGGGGGGGGGGCTCTGGGCTAGAACAGAGAGACAGGGGGGGGGGGTCACTGTGGAATCTCGGTAGGATGGGGGGGGGGGGGCCTGGAACTGATGCATTCTTTGGGGGGGGGGGGTTTTAGTGGGCATTTGCTAGATGGGGGGGGGGGATCTCGAGAGATGGCATTTAACCGGGGGGGGGGGTGAACCCATGTAAGAAAATATTTGGGGGGGGGGGTTTTGAACAAATTCGTAAACTAAGGGGGGGGGGGAACAGAATAGGGCACCTGGGTGGGGGGGGGGGGGAAGCGTCTGCTTTCGGCTCAGGTGGGGGGGGGGGGGTCCTGGGATGGAGTCCTGCGTGGGGGGGGGGGCTTGGTGGGGAATCTGCTTCTCCGGGGGGGGGGGCCCCTGCTTGTGCTCGCACACTCGGGGGGGGGGGTAATTAATTAAATCTTAAAAAAAGGGGGGGGGGGAAAAAAAAAAACCAGAATAAGTGGGGGGGGGGGGCTGAACTTGGAACTTAGAGGCAAGGGGGGGGGGGGGTGAGGACCTGGGCCACAGAGCGGGGGGGGGGGTCCCAGCTGCACCACCTGCTACCGGGGGGGGGGGGGGCAAGCTACTTAACCTCTCTGGGGGGGGGGGGCTCTTCTGTACAGGAGGGGTAATGGGGGGGGGGGTTTCAAAGGATTATTGTGAGGATGGGGGGGGGGGAAATGCACATGAGGAGTGGTTAAGGGGGGGGGGGGCTCATACTGAGTGTTTAATAAAGGGGGGGGGGGCGTATTATGAGTATCAATAACCCGGGGGGGGGGGAACTGAACCATAAACGGAACCAGGGGGGGGGGGGGAAAATAGCGAACTTAACGGGACGGGGGGGGGGGCCCCATGCTGTCTAAAGTGGTCAGGGGGGGGGGGCTCGTAGAGAGCTCTGAGGACCAGGGTGCCCAGCGCCTAGTGCTCTGCCGCTGTTGAGGGGGGGGGGGACCCCGGCATTATCCTCACTTTGGGGGGGGGGGGACAAGGCTCAAAGGGGCTGGGTGGGGGGGGGGGGTGAGCTCATCTGTCATTAGGGCAGGGGGGGGGGGCGGTTGACATGGGATGCACTTTGGGGGGGGGGGGGCGTCCCCTTCCACACGAAAATGGGGGGGGGGGGTTCATTCATTCATGGTGTCTGTGGGGGGGGGGGGACCTGCATGGCGCCTCCAGTCCTGGGGGGGGGGGTTCGTGCCTGGGCCCATGTTGAAGGGGGGGGGGGACACCCTCCCTGCCCCGCCCCCGGGGGGGGGGGGCGACCTCCCCCACCAGCTCCCCGGGGGGGGGGGGTGCCCACCTGCGGTTCCCGGACGGGGGGGGGGGGCTGCAGACCCCGCGCTGGGACGAGGGGGGGGGGGCCTGTGCTCTGGAGCAGATCTGCGGGGGGGGGGGCGTGGACCTAGGGCAGATGCGCTGGGGGGGGGGGTTCTTCAGGTGAGAGCCTCTCTGGGGGGGGGGGGGGAAGGTGGCTGGTGGTGCAGGGGGGGGGGGGGGCGGGGCTTTGGGTCCAGGGACAATGCCGGCCTTCCCAAATGTTTGCTTCCCGACATCGGGGGGGGGGGGAGCAATGGTCCCCCGCGATGGCTGCTCCAAGGAACTGGGTCGGGGCAGCTACCAGCGGGGGGGGGGGGACCTCAGGGTGACAGTGGCCTGGGGGGGGGGGGAACTCTGGCTTGGAGAACGGCCAGGGGGGGGGGGCACAGAAAGCAGCTACAGGCTGCGGGGGGGGGGGCACGGAGAGGCTTTGCAGCTCGGGGGGGGGGGGGAGGACGGGGCCCTGGCTTTCCGGGGGGGGGGGGGCCTTTCTCATGGTGGGCAGACTAGGGGGGGGGGGTCTCGTGGCCACATCAAATCTCTGGGGGGGGGGGCGGCGGCCCAGCCACAGAATAGCGGGGGGGGGGGACCTGTGCTCGAAGCAGGTGTGTGGGGGGGGGGGCCCAGACCCAGAGCCACATTCTGGGGGGGGGGGGAAGGGCAGGCAAGTTTGGGCTGAGGGGGGGGGGGGATGTGCAGTGAGCTTCCCTGGAGGGGGGGGGGGGAGTGAGAGGAGGAGTCCATCCCGGGGGGGGGGGGGAGGCTCTCTCAGGGCCCGCCCGGGGGGGGGGGAAAATCTGATTCCACCCAACGCCATCCACCCCTGGATCCCCCCGGACAGGAAGGAGCGGGGGGGGGGGGGTACACAGGGCCGCCAGGGCAGGGGGGGGGGGGGGAGTCCCCAGGAGAGGGCTATTTTCCTTCTTCAGCCAAGCGGGTGGTGGGTTCTTTGGGGGGGGGGGGCTGTCCCCCTGCAGCCAGCAGCGGGGGGGGGGGGGCCTTCTTATTTCCCGCCTCTGGGGGGGGGGGGAGGGGTCTCTGATTATACTTGGAGGGGGGGGGGGGGGTTTCCATCTTCATTGCCCTGGGGGGGGGGGGTGCCGCGGCCGCCCAGTGATGAGGCCTGCACCAGCGGCCAGATGGTCCTCGCCAGCCGGGGGGGGGGGTTCAAGGTTTTCCATTTCCACCAGGGGGGGGGGGACAAGCTGTCCGACGTGTTTCAGGGGGGGGGGGGCTGCGTGGAGACGCACCTCAAGGGGGGGGGGGGGCAGGGGGGCGGAAGGGCGCTGCCGGGGGGGGGGGGTAGGTGTCGTGAGGCCCGCACCGGGGGGGGGGGTCAAGGGCTCCCCCCGCACAAAGGGGGGGGGGGGTGTGACCTCGGGGGCCCCTGGCGGGGGGGGGGGGCTGTGGGGCCGGCAGAGTGGCAAGGGGGGGGGGGAAGCAGGCCCAGGTCTTGTAAAGGGGGGGGGGGGCACTTGAAAAATCATGTTTTGACGGGGGGGGGGGCCATATTTTGCTCAATCTACATAGGGGGGGGGGGAGAGCTCTTTAATTATCTGTTCAGGGGGGGGGGGGTGCTTATTAGAAAGGGGCTGACGGGGGGGGGGGCTTCCTTCCCACAGAGCCTCCTGGGGGGGGGGGGTATTACAGTAGTATGGCTTGCTTGGGGGGGGGGGTCGAGCAACCTTTGATTTTTGAAGGGGGGGGGGGCTGCAGTTTTGCCCTGGATTCGTGACTGCCCGTGGAGACAACCTGACAGGCGGGCTCGGGGGGGGGGGAACAGCGGTCCCTTTGTTTGTGGGGGGGGGGGGGTAATTTATTGTAGGCCCTCCCGGGGGGGGGGGGGTGGGCCATTTGAGGCATTAATTCGGGGGGGGGGGGCCGGCTGGGGGTCGTGGGGAGAGGGGGGGGGGGCTGTCGGGGGGGGCGCTGTGGTCGGGGGGGGGGGGGGTCAATAGGAGTGGGCCGGGGGGGGGGGGGGGCCCGGGAAACTGATGTTAAGAGGGGGGGGGGGGGATTTTAATTGCGTCTAATTACACGGGGGGGGGGGGGGTCTGTATGCGGGGAGAGCGGGGGGGGGGGGGTTCGGGGTGTGGTGGGGGGAGAGGGGGGGGGGGGCTGTCCTGGGGAGAGCAGGCCGGGGGGGGGGGGGCGCCCGCCAGTTGCTTATCTCCTGGGGGGGGGGGCCTCCATCCGGGCCAGCAGGTCAGGGGGGGGGGGACGTGCATGCAGTTCTCCATCCGACGCCCCAAACTGCCCTCCTCCGAGACGCACCCCGGGGGGGGGGGGTACAAGAGGCTGGACGTGGCGGGGGGGGGGGGGCACCTGAACGAGCTGGGCCAGGTGGGGGGGGGGGACAAACTGCGCAAGGTAAGCCGGGGGGGGGGGGGGCCGCCTCCTGGGAGGCTGCCCCGGGGGGGGGGGACGCCCGCCCGATAAAGCAATCAGGGGGGGGGGGTTGAAAAGGGAACCTCGGGAGCGGGGGGGGGGGGCCCGGAGTCAGGCTGCATAGAACGGGGGGGGGGGAAATGCAGCGCTTCCAAAACCGGGGGGGGGGGGGGACGTGAGAACGACACGTTAATCGGGGGGGGGGGCCAGGGTGGGCATTGACATTGAAGGGGGGGGGGGTGTGTGCTGTATGGGAATGGAGGGGGGGGGGGGGCCCTCCAAACATGTGCAAATCACGGGGGGGGGGGTCAAGGCATCAGCTGTCACCGAGGGGGGGGGGGGCCCCCAAAACACAAATCTCCGGGGGGGGGGGGGGCTTTGAGCCGCCCTGTGTTGGCCCCTCCCCAACTTTGGCCGCTTCCTGCAGGCCATTGGGGGGGGGGGCATTGATGTGTCAATCCGGGGGGGGGGGGGGGGGTTCCTGCTGCGGTATTACAGCCAGGGGGGGGGGGCGCAGGAGAGGGAGGCACTGCGGGGGGGGGGGGGCCGGGAATACGCCGAGATCCAGCGGGGGGGGGGGGGGCCGCCCGCCCCGGCCTGGCCGGGGGGGGGGGTCAGCCGACCCGGCGATTGGCGGGGGGGGGGGGGACTGATAATATGTTCCGTGACCCGGGGGGGGGGGGGAAAATGGGTCCCAGGCACGGAGGGGGGGGGGGGGATAAGAGCCGGCGTTATCCCCGGGGGGGGGGGTGGGGCTGCGGCGCTCCTTGCCCGGGGGGGGGGGGTCAGGGTTTGAGAGCTTGTTCTGGGGGGGGGGGCTAGGCACCGACGCCCAGCCGGGGGGGGGGGGGGGGAGCCGACGGCTGAGGTCTCTCGGGGGGGGGGGGAGCCCAGGCCAAGGCCCGCTCTGGGGGGGGGGGCTGGATAACCAGCCCCCCCAAGTGGGGGGGGGGGCAGAGGGTTTGCCGCTGGCAGCAGGGGGGGGGGGATCAGGAGCAGGGGTGGGGAGGGGGGGGGGGGGGCTGGAGCATGTGTGTGCACACGCGGGGGGGGGGGGGAGCCCCCGGCCGGCGCTCCTCGGGGGGGGGGGCTCTCCATGAACCCTGAAGAGCAGGGGGGGGGGGGGCGCGACGTGCAGTTCACCGTGGGGGGGGGGGGGGTTCGGACGGATCGGAGCAACCGGGGGGGGGGGGGTGAAGACAATCCGAATGTGGAGGGGGGGGGGGACCTGCCCTCCCCAGCCAGCGAGGGGGGGGGGGGGGGAAGGAGAGCCCTCCCCGCCCCCACCATTCCACTTCCTCACCTGCCATTCTGGGTGGGGGGGGGGGTCGGGACTCCGCCGGCCTTCTGGGGGGGGGGGGGACAGCAGCAGGGGTGGGGTCTGTGGGGGGGGGGGAAAAGCAGAGGCTCATTAGCTACGGGGGGGGGGGTCAGTCCACGTCTTGTGGCTGGTCCCTCCCCAGGGTACCAGCAAAGCCTCCCATCCCGGGGGGGGGGGCCAAGCCTGGCTTGCTTGGCTCCGGGGGGGGGGGGATGAGCCTCCCTCTGAGCCTCCCAACAAGTGGTCCTCCGGCCGATGAAACCACACAGAGCCCGAGACTTGAATCTCTACATTCTACCACCTGGCAAATGATGGCACAAAATTCGCAGCCCGTACAAATGTCCCCGCGCACCCATCCTTTGTCACGGGTGGGGGGGGGGGATTAAGAAAATCAGACCCACATAGGGGGGGGGGGCTGCTCTGGAGGTTTGGGCCTGGGGGGGGGGGGGTGTAGGCCACTCCATTTCCCTAGACCCTGAAGACAGTGCCCAGGGCTACCTTCCTTGGGGGGGGGGGGAGGTGAAGGGGGCGCATCCTGGCGGGGGGGGGGGTCCAGCCTGGGCAACACGCCACCGGGGGGGGGGGAGGGGTGGGCTGCGTTGAGGCCCGGGGGGGGGGGCTCTCCCTGCTCTCTGCCCTGCGGGGGGGGGGGGATCCTGCTGAACTATGCCGTATAGGGGGGGGGGGTCGGCTACTTTCAGGGCATGTCAGACCTTGTGGCACCCATCCTGGCCGAGGTCCTGGGGGGGGGGGGGACCTTCTGGTGCTTTGTGGGTTTGGGGGGGGGGGCGATATTCGTCAGTTCTCCTCGAGGGGGGGGGGGGGAGAAACAGCTGGTGAGGCTGGGGGGGGGGGGGTAACAGTGTGCTGGGGGAGAGCAGGGGGGGGGGGGCCCTTGCTGCCCGAGGTCTCGGGGGGGGGGGGGGGCGTGGCTGCTATGGGTCAACAGGGGGGGGGGGCCAGGGTGGGCGTTGCCAATGGGGGGGGGGGGGGTAGCCGTGCGCCTCTGCTAAGGCGGGGGGGGGGGGGAGGAATGCATGTTATTCCTCAGGGGGGGGGGGCCTGCTGCCATCCCCACCCCATGGGGGGGGGGGGCTGGGCTGTGGGGGGAGGTCCCTGGGGGGGGGGGGGAGTGAGGAAGGGGAGGCCCATGGGGGGGGGGGCTGTGCTTTACAAGACGGGTCCTGGGGGGGGGGGGGGCTGCTCCCTGCAAGGCTCCAGGGGGGGGGGGAGGAATGGGAGGGGCTCCTGAGGGGGGGGGGGGGGTCGCCACGCCCCATCCCAGGCCGGGGGGGGGGGGCCCAGCCAGCACACCCCCTCCTCATGGCCTCCCCTCACCTGCACAGACCCAGCAGCGGGGGGGGGGGGGGGGAGGGGGACAGGCAGAGCTGGGGGGGGGGGGCCAGGAGCCTTCAGTCAGCACTGGGGGGGGGGGCTGTGTGTTCCAAACACCTGCCGGGGGGGGGGGGGAGGGCACTGGGCTGTGGTCTTGGGGGGGGGGGGCCAGAGAGAACCCCAGCTGGGAAGGGGGGGGGGGCGGGAAGTAGGCAGGAAGGCGGAGGGGGGGGGGGCCACAGCACATGGGATGTGCCCAGGGGGGGGGGGGCACAGGTTCGGGCAGTGATACTGGGGGGGGGGGACTTTTGGGACCGGCCATGTCAGGGGGGGGGGGGAAGGAGCTGAGCAGAGCTGGGTCGGGGGGGGGGGGGGAAGCTGAGCACAGCAGGGGGGGGGGGGGGGGGGGAGCCAGGGTCCAGGAGGTGTGGGGGGGGGGGCCAGGGGACGTCCGCATGGGGTAGGGGGGGGGGGGGCCGCATGCGTGGTCTTGACGCGGGGGGGGGGGGGTCACAAGAGATCCTCAGACTCGGGGGGGGGGGGGGCCCCAGCAGCTGTCTCCGGTGGGGGGGGGGGGTTGCTTGTGTGGGAGGGGCCTGGGGGGGGGGGGGCCCTGCCCCAGGTCCCCCCCCCGGGGGGGGGGGACCCCACCCCCAGCTGCCCCCTCGGGGGGGGGGGCCTGTGATGTCGGGTTTCCACGGGGGGGGGGGGGGTAATTATGGGGTCTGACGCGTTGGGGGGGGGGGGGGCTCATGCAGCACGCGGCCCCGGGGGGGGGGGGCTGCCAGAGATGGATATTCTCAGGGGGGGGGGGTCAGCAGCCTGAGCCGGGCGCCGGGGGGGGGGGGCTCGATCTCGTGCCTCACCCACGGGGGGGGGGGGTGACCTTACGTGCAGGAAACGAGGGGGGGGGGGGTCAGAAATGCCCCCTCCCTGCTCGGGGGGGGGGGTGGAAGATGATGGGTCTTGGCGAGGGGGGGGGGGTTGGACTGGGGGTTCCATGCATGGGGGGGGGGGGCTCCCCAGGAGGAGGGAGCGGCAGGGGGGGGGGGGTGTGGTGGCTGAGACCTGGGGAGGGGGGGGGGGACAGCAGGGCAGCATGCTCTGCCGGGGGGGGGGGGTGCCTCCAGAGCAGTCTGAAATGGGGGGGGGGGTAGCCAAGACAGGTGTGAGTCCGGGGGGGGGGGGAGAATAACGTAAGCCAGTGCGGGGGGGGGGGGGGGAGGCCCCGTGCTCGGCATGCATGGGGGGGGGGGTGGGGGCCCGAGGAAGGGCCTCAGTGGGAGTGGGCACCTTGGGCAGAGCCTGGGGGCGGGGGGGGGGGGGCCTCACCCCCAGCTCTACCTGGGGGGGGGGGGGCGGCTGACGCACCTTCGCTTCTGGGGGGGGGGGGTCTCGCTGGGTGAGGACGGCCTGGGGGGGGGGGTTTGCCACCGTTGGCTGCTGCTGGGGGGGGGGGGCGAGTTCCCCGAGGCCGAGGCGCTGCGCATCTGGGAGGCCTGCTGGGCCCACTACCAGGGGGGGGGGGGCCAGGTGGCCGCACCCTGCGGCGGGGGGGGGGGCCCTCCGGGGTCCCCTCCTCCACGGGGGGGGGGGCCATAACCCACACACCCGCACCAGGGGGGGGGGGTGCCTTCTCGTCGTCCCCCGGGGGGGGGGGGGGGCCAACAGCTCGCCTCCCAGGTAAGGGGGGGGGGGGCGAATTGCCCACTGACTGCTCAGGGGGGGGGGGTGGGGCCCGGCTCCCTGCTGCCAGGGGGGGGGGGTGTGCGGGTGACATCGGTGAGGGGGGGGGGGGGGCCTGCAGCCCCGGCCACCAGGCCGGGGGGGGGGGCTCGCTCAGGACCGCGCAGGGAAGGGGGGGGGGGCCCTGCGTCCCTGTCACCCCCTCGGGGGGGGGGGGGACCCACCATCCCTCCCCAGATTTCCCCTGCAAAGCCCCCAAGAGTGTGCGTCCCCGGGGGGGGGGGTTAACAGCCAACTTAGCAAAAAGGGGGGGGGGGGGAAGGATGGGCAAGTCTCTCTGGGGGGGGGGGGGTTTAAAAAAAAAAAAAATAGTATGGGGGGGGGGGGGAGGTGGCCAGGATCCTTTCTGGGGGGGGGGGGTCTGTTCTCGCCATGGAAGCCGGGGGGGGGGGGGAGACAGGCCTCGGAGGTCGATGGGGGGGGGGGGGAACCTGCAGACACATGAACCAGCGGGGGGGGGGGTGCTGGTGTTGCCGGAGGAGCTTGGGGGGGGGGGGCAAGTCCCAGGAAGCCGCACTGGGGGGGGGGGGCATCTCCGAACCCGCCTGCCCGTGGGGGGGGGGGGCCCCCTGGCCCGGGTCTGGCTCGGGGGGGGGGGCTGGATTAGTGTGCCGGACCACAGGGGGGGGGGGGGGCCCTGCCCCTTGATGACATTGGGGGGGGGGGGGTCGGGAGGGGCGAGGAGGTGGGGGGGGGGGGGTTCCTCAGGGGTGAGGGCCATGGGGGGGGGGGGGTTTTGAAGTGATCCCTCAGAGAGGGGGGGGGGGGTCTATCTGTTTACTACTCATGTGGGGGGGGGGGGTGGACTGCCCCAGGCCTGTCCCGGGGGGGGGGGGAGTCCTGTCCTGCTGCCCAGCCCGGGGGGGGGGGTGCCTCACCCCTTCCTCCGCACAGGGGGGGGGGGGAGGAGCTGCACACCCCCCTTCCGGGGGGGGGGGTGTCTCCCACCCCGGGCCAGAGCGGGGGGGGGGGAAGCAAGAACAAATCCATTCCGGGGGGGGGGGGGGGAAGGGGCCAGGCAGCCCGGGGGGGGGGGGGGGGGGGGACGTTTCTTCCAGAGCAGGGGGGGGGGGGGGCATTGCTGACTCTGACCTCAGGGGGGGGGGGGGGCTCCGCCCGGCCAGCCTAGCTGGGGGGGGGGGCCGGCCAGTCGACATTGGGAGACGGGGGGGGGGGTTCCTGGTGCTCCTTACTCTTCCGGGGGGGGGGGGGGCCAGCGTGAGTCAAAGGCAGGGGGGGGGGGGAGCATCCGGGCAGGGGAACACACGGGGGGGGGGGCAGTCAAATGCCAGCTGACAGAGGGGGGGGGGGGTGCTGCGTGCCTGGTGTTGCTGGGGGGGGGGGGGAGGTGGTCTCCAAGGAGGGCGGCGGGGGGGGGGGTGGAGTCCTTGAAGAGTTAGTGAGGGGGGGGGGGATCATGGTAACCCCTCCGTGGGGGGGGGGGGGGGGCTGTCTTGCTCCTCTCTTGTCAGGGGGGGGGGGATTTCTTAGCAACAAACCTAGGGGGGGGGGGGGGGACAAGAGTTGGGATGTTCAGCCGGGGGGGGGGGAGACACTGACCAGAGGGTAACTGCCAGGAAGTTCTTTCTCGCTGGCCTGTTCCACAAGGGGGGGGGGGATATTCGCACCCAGCCTCTGCGTGGGGGGGGGGGAGCTCTTCTCAGCGCCTTTATGAGGGGGGGGGGGAATGAGCGTGCACCAGCCCTCAGGGGGGGGGGGGACGGAATGCACCCAGAGGGCTCCGGGGGGGGGGGCCGTGGGTAGCACGAGTTTGTCCCCTTTGCATGTCACAGCAGCCTTTGGGTGTAGGTGGGGGGGGGGGCCCGTGTGCGGTGGGGAAACAGCGGGGGGGGGGGTTGCGGCTTGCCCAGGACCATGTGGGGGGGGGGGGCCTCACCCCACAGCTCTGCGCTGGGGGGGGGGGTGGGGCCTTATCTGAACCCTGCTGGGGGGGGGGGCAGACGGATTACTTCCACCTTTTGGGGGGGGGGGCCATCGTGGCCATCTACGGGGATGGGGGGGGGGGGCAGCAGCTGGCCACCGACCAGAGGGGGGGGGGGTTTGGAAACCTGGCCATGCACATGGGGGGGGGGGTCGTTCTCAGGAAGGTGAGTGCCGGGGGGGGGGGCAAGTGTCCCCACCCACCAGCCTGGGGGGGGGGGACCCCTTGGCCACAGAGCCCCGCGGGGGGGGGGGGGCTTGGACGCAGGCCCCGCCCCGGGGGGGGGGGGTGGGGCGCTCCCTGCGGAGGCCGGGGGGGGGGGCTAGTCCACCATCAGGCCCGGACGGGGGGGGGGGCTCCGCTGCGTGGAATGAACAAAGGGGGGGGGGGCATAGACAGCCCCCCCCACCACCGGGGGGGGGGGCACTCACAGCCCAGAGCCAGGCAGGGGGGGGGGGCAGCTTTGGGGGAGGGCTGCCGTGGGGGGGGGGGGGCTAGTGGAAGGAAGGGGCACCGGGGGGGGGGGGGCCACTCCCCACTTCCCAGCCTGGGGGGGGGGGTGCCGCATGTGAAAGCTCTGTAGGGGGGGGGGGGAGCTTTAAGGAGTGACGCAGGGGGGGGGGGGGGGGCGGGTAGGAAGTGGGCACAGCGGGGGGGGGGGGAGCGGGAACGGAGCCCGCAGAGGGGGGGGGGGGGAGCCGCGGGGTGGCCGGAGCGCTGGGGGGGGGGGGCTGGGGGCTGAGTCGGAGGGGGGGGGGGGGGGGGCAGGGACTGCCACTGAGGCGGGGGGGGGGGGGGCCCTTGGCCGGCCTGCTCACCCTTCGGATGAAGGCCTTTGGGAGCCTGCCCCACCCCGGGGGGGGGGGCTCTCTCTTTGCAGGCCCGCAGCGGGGGGGGGGGGTTCCGTCTCCTGCCCCGCATCCGGGGGGGGGGGCACGAGCTGTGTAAGCTGTGTGGGGGGGGGGGGGGGGACAGCGGATACATGCCCGCCGGGGGGGGGGGGGGCCACCACCCGGGCTCGGAGAGGGGGGGGGGGGGGGGCACGGTGGAGACGCCTTCGGGGGGGGGGGCCAGAGAAGGCAAGAAGGGCCCAGGGGGGGGGGGGGAAGGCCTCGGTTTCCGCAGATGGGGGGGGGGGCCTGCACTGGACGAAGGTGGAGGGGGGGGGGGGGGTGGTCCTGGGCACGTGGGAGGGGGGGGGGGGGGGGCATGGAGGGGACGGGGGGGGGGGGGGGGGGGGCGTAAGGAAAAAGACTTGGGGCGGGGGGGGGGGGACCTTTTCATATTAATGACGTAAGGGGGGGGGGGAAGTGACTGAAGTAAGACCCACCGGGGGGGGGGGGAAAAGTCACCTCCCAGAACAGTGGGGGGGGGGGGCGCGGCCCTCCGGCCTGGAGAGGGGGGGGGGGGGGCTTCTCGGGCTGCCTGCCTGTGGGGGGGGGGGGCGTGCCTCAGGGACTCCGCCGCGGGGGGGGGGGCGGCACTGCCAGGCAGCGAGAAAGGGGGGGGGGGGCCGCAGCACAGGGACTGCAGAGGGGGGGGGGGGCCCGTCCAGGCCTGGGACATTTTGGGGGGGGGGGCACGCCTCCTCATTGGACCCCATGGGGGGGGGGGGCCAGTCTCAACTTTGCACAGTTGGGGGGGGGGGTCTGCAAAAAAAGAAAAAGAAAAGGGGGGGGGGGTTCACGATAGACAGGTGTAGGAGGGGGGGGGGGGTCTGAGAGGCTGGGGGCTCTTCAGGGGGGGGGGGCACATTTTATACTCCTGGTATGTGGGGGGGGGGGCCTGCCGCTGAGCCCGAGCCTCAGGGGGGGGGGGGTTGTTGGACCCCTCTCCCGTAGGGGGGGGGGGGGGTTCTACATGAGGATCTCTGTTGGGGGGGGGGGTCACCCAACACAGCAGTCTGCTGGGGGGGGGGGGGGTTGGGCTGTGTGGGCGCCGACGGGGGGGGGGGTGTCTGAGGGAAGTGGGACTGCAGGGGGGGGGGGCCCGAGACAGAAGCATCCAAGAGGGGGGGGGGGGCCCCCGCTTCCCTGCAGGGCCTGGGGGGGGGGGGCGGGGGCCTTCTCAGGTAGCAGGGGGGGGGGGGGACCCCATAATGTAGCCAGCGCTCGGGGGGGGGGGCCCACCTCCAGAAGATTCCTGTCGGGGGGGGGGGCTGGGATTTAGGGAGATGGACAGGGGGGGGGGGGGGAGCTCCCAACCAGCTGGAAAGCATCCAGCCATCTGCACAGAAAGCCACTTCTTGAGGGGGGGGGGGCACAAGGCTTGAATCCTTCCCTGGGGGGGGGGGGACACCCGTGAAGTGCTAAAGGTCGTCGTGGGGACACCGCCTCGACGGAGGCTTCTTCGGGGGGGGGGGTCCTCTCCCCGGAGAGTGAGCCATGCTGCTGGTGCCACTTTAAAAAGATGTTTATCGGGGGGGGGGGGGAAGTTACCAGCCTCCTCCTTCGGGGGGGGGGGGTTCTGCATGAGCTCAAGTCCTCCGGGGGGGGGGGGTTCCCAGAGCCTTCTGGGTGAGGGGGGGGGGGGCCCTCAGTCCCCAGATCCTGGGGGGGGGGGGGGGTCAGCCCTGCAGCAGGGTCCAGGGGGGGGGGGGGGGACTTCTCACCTGCTCTGCGTCGGGGGGGGGGGGATTGCCTTTCTCTGCTGGCCCCGGGGGGGGGGGGAAAAGGTGCTGCACTGGTCCTGGGGGGGGGGGGGCCTCCCTGTGAACAGGAGTATTGGGGGGGGGGGGCGCTGCAGCAGGGCTGTGTGATGGGGGGGGGGGAGACCCATCTCCCACACCGTCCAGGGGGGGGGGGTTAGACTGGGCACTTCTGGTCTTGGGGGGGGGGGTTCCCATATCTGGTCAGCTGATGGGGGGGGGGGGGAGGGGCTGCTCACGTGTGTAGAGGGGGGGGGGGGCACCGTCTCTTGCCTCCGTGCTGGGGGGGGGGGCCAGTCAAGGCAAAAGCGCAGGAGGGGGGGGGGGCAGGTGCCTTCCTAAGCCTCGGGGGGGGGGGGGGCTGCTGTCATCCCATTGCCAAAGGGGGGGGGGGGGCCGGACTCAGCATCCAGAGGTGGGGGGGGGGGGCCCCTCCCTTTAGCAAGAGGTGCGGGGGGGGGGGGGCAGGGGGCTGGGAATTCAGAGGGGGGGGGGGGGGGCTGTGGTTACGTCTGCCATCGGGGGGGGGGGCTTTTGGGGCTCTCCTGTCAGGGGGGGGGGGGGGCCCGGGAAGGCAGGAGATGCCCAGGGGGGGGGGGGATGCTCCTCAGCTCCCCCTGTCGGGGGGGGGGGAGCCATGCATTTTTCTGAGATACGGGGGGGGGGGGGGCTGCTGTGCATGTGGGGTGGGGGGGGGGGGGGGATCCCTTCACTTTGGAGGACCGGGGGGGGGGGGCATTCACGCTGAATCTCCCGGCGGGGGGGGGGGCCCAAGACCCGTACCAAGTGCCACCCCGCCCTCACTGCTCCCGCCTCACACCCCTGCGGGGGGGGGGGCCCTGGAGATCTACGCCTCTTAGGGGGGGGGGGGTCTCAGAAGCCGAAGACCTGGTTGGGGGGGGGGGGGAGGGCTGGGGAAGGCCTGCCTGGGGGGGGGGGCTTAATCTGGGTGCAATTAGAGGGGGGGGGGGGGAAACCCTGCAGCCCCAGGATTATGGGGGGGGGGGAAAAGGCATTAGGGTGATAATTCGGGGGGGGGGGTTCTAGCCTTCCCACCTCCCAAAGGGGGGGGGGGGGGATAATCAGCCCGGCACGGCCGGGGGGGGGGGTGCTGCTTATTTAACCCATTTTTGGGGGGGGGGGCTTAATGTTATTGGCTGGTGTGCGGGGGGGGGGGTACTTAATTTCCCCACCGCTAATGGGGGGGGGGGCGTTCCAGGATGTCGCCGGGGCCGGGGGGGGGGGAGGGAGCCTTTGATATGCTCCTCGGGGGGGGGGGGGGGCAGCATGGCAGGGGCTCGCGGGGGGGGGGGGGTTTCACGCTCCCAGGGAAGAAGGGGGGGGGGGAGGATGCTGGGTCCCGGGAGGGTGGGGGGGGGGGAGGGTGGCGGGGTTGGGGCCTGGGGGGGGGGGGGGAACACTGTGCTATTCCAGAGGGGGGGGGGGGGGGTCCCAGCCAGGAAGACTCGGAAGGGGGGGGGGGTGGGAATTGGTGTCCTTGAGCCCGGGGGGGGGGGTGGAATGGATGGGGTGGGGAGGGGGGGGGGGGGGCCTCTGCAGAAGGGGAGGGTCTGGGGGGGGGGGGGGGAGGCCTAGCTCCATAGGCGTGGGGGGGGGGGCCAGCTCTGTCTGCACGCCATCAGGGGGGGGGGGGTCCTGGTCCGCTGCACGTCAGGGGGGGGGGGGGTTTTCAAATCCCGACCTCAGGCAGGGGGGGGGGGGGTTTTTCTGTAAGAGCCCAGCCGGGGGGGGGGGCCGGGGCGGGCATCTGGACAGGAGGGGGGGGGGGGTCCTAAGACGGAGGCTTCTCCCGGGGGGGGGGGCGGTGGCTGGCAGAGGTCAGCCGGGGGGGGGGGGGACGGGTGGACATACGGAAATGGGGGGGGGGGGGGGGGCCATCGTGGCGGGGGGTGGGGGGGGGGGGGTGCCCCTCGGTTATTGTGAGGTCGGGGGGGGGGGTTGTGGCCGTTTCTTGTTTGGTAGGGGGGGGGGGGAGTGTGGCAGTCCTCGGGGTGAGGGGGGGGGGGTCAGGGCAATGCCCTGCGGAAGCCTCGGTCCTCCATCTGGCCTCCCCTCCCCTGCAGGGGGGGGGGGGGGTGTCAGGGACGCCAGGGTTCAGGGGGGGGGGGAAAGGAAACTTCTTCCAGTCTGTGGGGGGGGGGGAGGCCCCTGGTGGCCGCCCCGTAGGGGGGGGGGGAGAGGCGTTCCCCTCCCCCCCCCGGGGGGGGGGGCACACACGTGCAGCGGTGTGGACTGGGCCAGAGGAGGTGGCCCGAGGCCAAGGGAGGGGGGGGGGGGGGGACATGCCACATCCCCAGAGATGGGGGGGGGGGAGACAGCCTAGGATCCCATTAGGGGGGGGGGGGGAAGCCACACAAAAAGGTTGTCCCGGGGGGGGGGGACATTCTGTCTCTGAATGTTCCTGGGGGGGGGGGAATGGCCCCAAAACTAACCAGTTGGGGGGGGGGGTAATTGTGAAGGCTAAGACCAGGGGGGGGGGGGGGGGATGAGCGGTGTTGAGCCTCAGGGGGGGGGGGTGTAGAATGAGAAGGATGACGCCGGGGGGGGGGGCCCACTGATGGTCGGTGTGAAAGGGGGGGGGGGGGTGGTTTACCAAGCCCCCTGGGCGGGGGGGGGGGACTCAGGGAAGAGACCACCGGCCGGGGGGGGGGGCAGCTTTGCCCGAGAGCGGCAGCGGGGGGGGGGGTCCGGAGCTCTCCCAACTTCAGGGGGGGGGGGGGCCACTCCCTCTCATGCCCACCTTGGGGGGGGGGGCCGGCCGACGGGAAACCTCTCTGGGGGGGGGGGGTAACGTTCACCCCATGCCACCCCGGGGGGGGGGGCAAGAAAAGTCAACCATGAACCAGGGGGGGGGGGCCCCTGCAAGATGTTCATCTCTTGGGGGGGGGGGTGGTCCGTGCGTGCAAGGTCTTCGGGGGGGGGGGTGAAAACCACCCAAGCGGGGACTGGGGGGGGGGGGGTCAGTGCTGTTGGACCCGGGGGGGGGGGGGGGTGGGCCTCCAGGGAGCAGGGCAGGGGGGGGGGGGACCTGCAGGCGTCTGGCCCTTTAGGGGGGGGGGGTTGAATTTCTAGGTGGGAAGAGAGGGGGGGGGGGTCAAAGAGAGCTCAACCACAGGGGGGGGGGGGGGCCAGCACCTCTGCTTAGAGGGCAGGGGGGGGGGGTTGAAGGAAAATTTTAACGAAATGGGGGGGGGGGTCAACAGATTACTGTTGTCCATGGGGGGGGGGGGTTTCTCTGTGTTTTGTTCCGTTTGGGGGGGGGGGCTACCTGTCAGTCTAGCCCTGCCGGGGGGGGGGGACTGGTCACCACAACCCCCTGGTCACCATGACCCAAACAGTGTTTCCGGCTCTCATGGGGGGGGGGGGAAAAGTAAATAAAATCACATTGAGGGGGGGGGGGTGCTGTTCGGCACCTCCAGA